TACCCGCCGCCTGCGGATCGGGCCACGGGGGGAACCCCACCCCCAAAGCACGCGACGTGCACATCACCCGGAAGTGACGCAATCACGCCGGGGGCTTTATGGTTTTCCCTTGGATGATCGTGGCCCGTCCCCAACATGATCGCGTCACTTCCGGGGGACATGGTTGCGGCGCACGCACACTCCCGGAGCAGCACTAGAGTCCCCCACTCCAGCGCCGCTTCGGACTTGGCAACCCTACTTTGGAGACTTGTCTATTCCATTGCTTGGGCATCTGAGTTGAGTTGATGTCACTGGGAGACAAAATATTATGAAATGTATTTTATACGGATATTTTTGGTAGTATTCCTAGTATTCCTAGAGATATTACACATATGACAATGCTAAATTAATTTTTGATAGATATATCTTTGGATTTGGACAGATGGGCAACTTTAAACTTGTCTCTATATGGCAAAGTAAATACTCTCAAAATGAATATTATACCTAGGATTAGTTATATATTTTACATGCAATTCCTTTATATATACCTGGCAGATATATTCATAACATTAATGCTTAGTTTCAGAAATGTATGTGGGGTCCCTCAACCACCTCATATTTCTTTAAAGAGGATGCAACTTTCATTAAGTGAGGGAGGATTTGGTTTCTCTGATATTAGTTTATATAATCAGGACAGGGCTATTTTTGGGCAGGAACGCACAGGAACGGAGTTCCGGCTGGCTCCCAAGTTGGCCACGCCCAGCAGGAGCTCATTAGCATAACAGGCCACACCCAACAGCAGAAACTCATTAGGACTGGCTACATTAGGGGTGTGTGACCTAACATGCAAAGGAGTTCCTGCTACAAAAAAAGCCCTGGGTTTTGACAACAAACAAGGTAAACAGAATAACAAGCAAAAGGTGGGTGTGGCTGGATGACCACACTTCTGGTAACATGGGGGTGCGACTTAATATGCTAATGAGTGGTGCAGTCAGGGGCATGGCCTAATATGCTAATGAGTTTCTGGGGCTGGGTGTGGCCTATTATGCTAATGAGTTCCTGCTGGACTTTTTCTACAAAAAAAGCCCTGATCAGGCATACTTATTAACTTGTACTAATTGCTCCTTGCAGTTGGACTATCCATCTTGGGCCCTTTTGGAGGCCTCTTGTCCTGTGTCCCTCTCTAAGTGGGATACATTAGAGTCTACTTATGCTAGAGTGGATCCCATTCCTCCTGCAGTTTCTACAGCTAGATAACAATGTTGTATATTGGCACAACTATATCAATTTGATACATTTTCACATTCTGAATTAACAATATGGGCCAATCCAGATCTAAAAATTAGGAAGAAACTTTTTTTGATAAGGGGATTTTTAAATGGGATCAGCTGATAGATTCTGAGGATGAGTTTTTGTCATTTTCTGAGCTGAGGTCTAGATATGATTTGTCATATTCTGTAAAATGGCAATACTAACAGTTGCAACATTTGTTGGTATTGAAATATGGCCTGGCAGCATTAAGTGTCTCAGAATCCCCTTTGCTCTAATCCCCTTTAATCAAATCAAGGCAGAAAACCAAACCAACAATATGTTTATAAATATCTGATGTCAGTTAACAGTTAACAAGTGTTATGTACAGAGTTTGACAAATAAATGGAATAAGGCATTAGATCACCCTATTTTGCCAAAGTAATGTGATATGACCTTAAAATCTATACTTTCTCTATGGATCTTAAGTTGAGAATTATTCAGCAAACAATTATGTTCAGAATATACTGGACACCACAGTGACTTTTTAGCAAAGCTCTAAGTAAAGTGTCTAATTGTTGGTGTTGTAACTCACAGGACACTTCCGTTAAGCATATGCTTTGGGTGTGTCCAGTCATTTGATATGTCTGGGAAGAAGTTATTATTCATATCAATTTTGTATTAGAACGTTAATTGATTTTTTAGGATTTTTTGTAATTTAAAACTATTTGCCCATCTCCTGGAGGCTAACCAATGGCTAACAGAAATGGACTCCTATCACAAAGCCCACCTCCAGTAAACCAATGGATCAAGGAACTTAGAACTCTATTAACATTTGAACAGATGGCATATAGACAACAACTGCATATGGAGCTATTTTTAGATTTTGGAAATCATTTATAGAAATTTATGTGTAGATTAGTCACCACTGTTATTATAATTTTGTCCTGTATATGTGTATTTAATTTACTAATTTTTTAAAAAAGAAATCTCGCTTAGTTGCTAGATTTTAAGTTTTTTTCTCCTTTGTTCTTTTTTGTTTTTTTAAATCAATTAATTAAATCATTGATTTTTAATTTGTGGCTTAATATGAACCATGGCTTAGGTTCCATTCTTTGCTCTCTGATAGCATCAGTTTGACACTAATAATAGTTTGCCATGATGGCTTGACTGATAACTTATCTGTACTTTCCCTTCAAACAAAACAGGAAATCATGATTTCCATCCAATTCTGGTTTGAAAGCAAAGTGCCAACCATAGGAAGATGGAGAGAAAAGAATTCCACACATACCAAGTACTGTGAGCCTTCCCAGTAAAAAAAAACCAACTTAAAATCTTAATCAGATTCTAGGACAGACCACCTGTAGTACAGCCTAAATCTAAATGTACTTACCATTCCAAAATCTTGCAAATTGATCCCACTTGTTTGCTACAGTTAGTCGTACACTATCCCATCTATTACTGGAATAATCTTCTTGTAGTCTATGAGTCCTTTGATAGATTAGGCAGAAGAAAGAAGAAAGGTAAACAAAGAAGAGGATGCACAAAGGAATGATAAAAGGTGTCAGGATCACTACAAGGAGCATTGTTGAATAGATGATCACATATAAAAAGTATTTCTCCAGGTATTTTAAAAAAATCCATTCTTCCAACTGGGATACAAAATAGGTTGAGGAAGTCATAGGTGCCTGATCTGCTGTCTGGCATTCGTTAATACCATCATCACCTGTTTAAAAGATGATAAAATCAGAATAAATTATTTCCATGTAAATTCCAGCATTTAATCTCAGAAGACTCTATGCTAAGCTATAGTCTGACTGAAAGTACATCCTACCGTACTCAGTGGGTCTTACTTCCAAATAAATATGGAACACTGTATTGTGACATATGTTCCATGACATATAATTTTGCAATAAACCATAAACTGATTCAGGTGCCCTGCCAAAATTTATACTCAGTATGTGAAATCCCATTGATGCAAATCATCCTTTCCAGACACACCTACATCTAAACTAGCCAGTCAACATCACATGTGTTCCCCAAGGCTATCACAGTAGTCTCAAAGAAAGATGTTCCATTTGTATGGGAAATGGTGGACTAAGATGTGGAATTCAGTTTCATGGAATGAGCAAGCACGCATACACTGCATGTTGTATCTTTGGAGGAAGCTGTAGTTTCGACAACATTAGAGAGAATTCTATCAGTATGGTATATACAATTGCTATATCCTGTTTGGTAATACAAACAATGACTGAAAGGCTGGACCCTAGCCACAAATTGTATTTATTCATTCATTTAGGATATTACATTTGTGAATCGCCCAATCCCTACTATTATAGGGCTCTGGGCAAAGTATCACATAATAAAAACATTAAAACTATAAAATAAATACAAACAGTATTAATACATCCATTAAAAATCAAGTGGCAAAATTACAGTTTTCTCCCATTTCCGACCTGTGATCACCTTGCAGGTGTGTGTGGGGGGAGCAGGAAGTAAAAAAGGGGAGTCGGGTGGAGGGTGCCAGCCAGGATATAAATTGTCGCTGCCCTCAACTCAAAGCCTGGCAGAACATTTCTGCCTTACAGGCCCTATGGAATTGTATAAGATCCCGCTGGGCCCTGATGGTATTTGGCAGAAAGTTCCACCAGGTTGGGGCCAGGACTGAAAAGGCCCTGGCCCTGGTTGAGGACAGCTGGACATCTTTAGGGCCAGGGATAACCAGCAGATTGTTATCCAAGGAGCATAACATTCTCCCAGGGACATATTGGATGTCCACCAAACTTGTCAGATACACTGGAAGGTTAAAGTTCAATTTGTAAACAAAACAAAAATGCTTATGTTTAATTTTTTCAACCCACGAATATTTGCAATAGAGAAATTCATATCTATTATGTACTGGGGTGGCTGGGGGAGGAAGAATTGAATTAATAGCTTGTCAGTGCTTATCCTAAGCAGAGATAAACACTTCTAAGCCCACTGATTCTACATACTTAGAAGAGTGCTACTCTGCTTAGGATGGTAACCTACAGTTCCTTCTGCACAGTGCCTTGAACAAATATGTCCTTCCCAATGGCAAGAATCAATTAATTTTGCTATCCAAACATTCCATGGTGGGCCAGCCTTGTCTCTCACTGCAGCAAGACAGGCCAGGATAGCCACATTCCTCATTGGGAGAGGTAAGGCTAGACAGGATGGCTCCACCCTGTCCCTCACCACTGCCAGGCTGAATGGGGCAGCAAGGCTGAGCCCGGTGGCTCTATCCCTTTTTCTCCCACCAGAAGAGGTGAAGCCAGGTAGAATGGCCCTATCCCTGGCCATGGTGAGGCCGGGTGCAGTGGCCCCTCCCTCACTGCAGAGAGGCTGGGCAGAGCTGCCCTTTCCCTTACTTGTGGCCTTCTACAATCCTTCGTTGTGGTGAGGCTGAACAGGGTGGCCCCATCCCTTGACACAGTGAGGGTGAGCTGGCCGACCCCATCCTGTTTCCTGATCAGAGAGGTGAAGCTGCTTGGGGTGGCCCCCTCCCGTCCCTCACCACAGAAATGATGGGCAGGGTGGCCCCATTCTGGCTCTTGCCAGGATAGGGCAGGCCAGGTAGTGTGGCCCAACCCAGCCTTCAGTGAGGCTTGGATGGGCAGCCCTCTCTTGTACCCCACTGGAGATGGTCAGGCCAGGCAGGGCGGCTCATTCCTGCAGCACTGAGGACACGCACGGTAGCCCTGTCCCTCACCAGGAGAGGAGACACCAGGCAAGGCAGCCCTGTTCCATCTTTCACTGTGATGAGGCTGAACCAGGCGGCCCCATCCCTTGATGCATCAGGAAAGGTGAATCCAGGTAGAGTGGTCCCATCCCTTGGTGAGTTGGGAGGAGTGACTCAGTCCATCCCTCTCCACAATGAGGCCAGGCAGCCCTATTCCTTGCTATAGTAAGGCTTAGCAGGGCCACCTTGCCAGGTGAAGAGAGACTTAGTGGGTAGGTGGCCCTGTCCATAGCTGCAGCAAGGCCAGTCCATGTGACCCTGTTCCTCGCCACAGCAATGCCAGTCAGCCTCATCCCATCCTTCACTGGGCGATAAGAGGCCAGGGTATCCCCATCTCTTGAATGGCTGAGGCCGAACAGGACTTCCCCATCCCTTGTCGTGGCAAAGGCCAGGGAGCTCCATCTTGCCCAGAGATGCAAGATTGGGGCATGGTGGCCCCACACCCATCCCTTGCAGCAGTCAGGACAGCCCCATCCTCTACTATAGCTCCCACCCTCTTTTGGGGCTGGGGTTGCCCTGCGGGGATTAATCTCAGGACTGGGTAGCCCCAGTGGACTCTTCCCAGTGACTTTAATGGCCAATCCACTCCTGTATGTATTATGCTATTTACAAAATATAAAGTATCTAAATTTCACATGTAAATCTCATGCAGGTTTTATAATCTTGTCATAACTGAAGTGCACAGCATTGTTCTGAAATGTAGGAGTAGAAATGTAGAAATTTAAGGAATGACTCATTAATTCCCTCACACCCATAAACTGCTGAGAATCAACTATGTAAATGGATTCCAACTCTTAGGTATTCAAGACCTGCTGTGCCATTTGCAGTACCTCTGGCACTCATAGCTGCCTGTGCTTTGACTAAAGAAAGCGGAAGCATCACTGTCTGGCATTTGCTCTGCTGTTTTTCGAAGCCCATGTGCGAAGAGAAATTCCCCTCTACATTGCATGCCACTTTCCCTTTTTCTGATTGTTGGATTTTATGGAAGCCTCCACACTGCATGCCGGTTTCACTTCCTTTGATCTCTCAGTTTTATGGAACTGTCTGCATAGATGGCCGTTTTATGGCCATTCAGGGGTGACTCTGCAGTCAGTAGGTGTTGGCCCAGGGTATTTGAATGTGGTTTTGAGCCACATCTTTATCTGTTCCAGTGTGGGTTTGCTAAACCAACAAAGCAAATGCTAAATGCAGAATGGGCCACTATCTACTCCACTTGGCCGTTTGCTACAAAATAGCAAGGAAGGGAAGGTGGGTGTTGTGTAGCCCGTTTTTATCAGATTTCAGAGGCTAAGCAGCAGTCTGCAGAGGTACTTGAATGGGAGAAGCTCTAAGGGAAGCTGTACAGAGGAAGACCATGGCAAACTGCCTCTGCTTTCCACTTGCCGTCAAAGCCCCTTGTTGGTGTCACCATAAGTTGGCTGTGACTTAATGACACATGTTCAGAGTGAGAATTTTTCTACACCTAAAAACTTAGCTTTTAAAGCAACATCTGACACCCAGTTTGCATGGCCACAGAAGTCCAAAACCAATAATATAGAGCTCGAGGTCGTTCCGTTCTCCCCTCAGCCATTACCTTCTGACACGAACCTGTATGTTGGGTCGCTGGTGGTACTGCACTAAAAGTTGGAGGAGCGGGGAAAGAGAGTGGCATCGCTCAGATAGGGTCCTCGGGAGACCTAGATGGACCCAGCTTTGCCATCCTCCTAAGGTTATGCGCCCGCGCGACCTACCCTTTCTGCCAAAGCCCGCCATTCTCACAGCGCTCGGCACATTCCCGGCGCCTTCCCGGCTCCTCTGCCTGCCGAGCCGCCTGGCCTGCCTGACAGTCTCAGCCCTGAGAACCCGCCACGGCCCCGCCCTCGCCAAACGAGTCAAAACACCTCAAGCGCGCGTCCTCTTGCTTCACCGGCGCGTCCTCCAGAGACCTTCCCCCTCTCCTCTGGTTCAGCTCCCAGTCGACGCGCCTTGCCACAAGCACAGGGGGGAGAGAAGGCGCTTACCCGGTTCGAAGCCGCACTGGCAGGCTCCTCCTACCTACCCGCTAGAAGCCAATCTGGTCTCCGCACCCATCCTGCTAACGCAATTTCAGCCCTTTCCTCGAGTACGCAAACGAAACTTGCTGAACCCTCCCCGGGCTTCTATTGGCCGATTCTACCTTGCCTACGCGAAAGGGGTCGAGAAGCGACAGACAGCTCACGAGGCTTGTTTGGGTTTCTGTCGGAGCGACCTTTCTGGGAGACCCTTCAGGTAAGCAACATAACAATTTAATATGGCTGGACCAGCGTGCATGAAGTTGAAGCAAAGCCATCATTTCAGTGGAGGAAGAGCCAGCTGGGTGGGCGTGCCATGTCATCTAGCTGTTCATCTTTAATTGGCGTGTGTCTTTCAATATAATGACTTGCTTCCCTCCCCCCATCCAGTTATCCCTGAAACTAATAGAATTTCCCAACAGTTTCAATATAATCCCAGGGGGCTCTGTGTTAGCAACGGATTAAAACAGGAGTCTAGAGGCACTTTAAAGACTAACAAAAATTATTCCTGCATAAACTTCAGTGAGTCAGTGCTCACTTGGTGGTGGAAGATATCTTGCCACTCCAAGGTGTTTTGCACTGCCTCCTGTTCCACCACTGTCCAGAGTTGCTGGCTGCCAGCAGCTCTGGACCTTGGCTTGCACAGTAGATCCAGGTGGCAGAGATGTGGGAGTGGGCACCTGTTGCCTTCTTTCATGGTACTGCCTGGCCCAATCAGCAAAGCAGTTTCTTTGTTGTTATGTCAACAGGCTCCAAAGTAACCTCCAGAGGTGCTGACTGCCAGCATCTTTGACACTCACCTTTGAAACTGAGTCAGGGCAATACTGGCATGGGAGTGTGAAGCAATAAATGAACACAGCATGCCCATCAACTCATCCCACCCTGCAACCAAATCATAACTTATCCCATCCCTAAAGCCCCAGCAGTATACCAGTGCCTTCATAGATTGTGTGCCCTAAAGCAGTGCTTGGGTTGCAACCAGAACCCTTCTGGAGCTTGCTTTAGATATAGGTAGCAGCAGTAGGGGATGAGGCAATGGCCACCTCCCAGGCCCTGCAATGTCCATCATCCAAGATAAGCATCAGATGGTCTGGCAGCTAGAGCCTCTGGCCTGTGACAGGATGACAAAAAATGCTTTGGGTCACTTGGGAGTTTAATTTACTTTGAGCCACCCAGGGTAGAGCTGGATGGCAGCAGTGTGGGTCTGAGAAGTACCCATTGTCTGCTCTCTTGCTTCTGTAAACTTGCTCCAAGAAACATTCTGGAGGTGCAGGCAAAACCTCTGGAGCGTGGCTTGGACAGGGTGGATTCATGTAACATAGGGAAGGGAAGCCAGCAATCCACATAAGGTATGCCCATCACCTTCTCCCAAACTCCTGCCATTAGGGAGCAACAAGATGACCCTCTGTAGTGTGCTGGTGCTCTTGTTGCCCCAAATGCTCCTCCCCCCAGTCAAGCGGATGGTAAACCAGCTCTGCTTCTGATTATACATCCTTTTGGATTGAGTTGTATATTTGTGTCCAAACAGTATAACACAAAATGCTTTTGAGTGTCTTCTTGTGAATGTTTAATTCAAGACTTTGAAAAGCGGAGTCATTTGAAATATAGTGCACTTCTCAACTTGTGTAAATGCTGTATTTTTAAATACAAGGGGAACAGTAAAGGTGGATGTTGTCATGTGCTAAAATGTGTGCTTTGTGTGCTGGCTGTTCTTGTTGGTTGCTGGACTTGTGGGAGCAGGATATTAATGCGATGCTAATATGGACTGAATAACTGTTAGCAGTTTGAAAGTGAGATGTGTTTTAACAAAACAAGTGCAGACTTATTTTTTTCTGGATTGCTAGAAAATTAATTGCTAAATTAATATTCCACCAGAAAATATATGACATATGCCACCAAACTCTGTGGAAGTGCTTCATTGTTTGGGCTTGTTCATTAATCATCCTTCTGAAAGTTTAAAAAAAAATCTTGGTGAATGGTCAGTTTGTTGTGGCTGTCTTTATTTAACCCTTAAAGACCTGTTGTTCTGGTCTGAGCAGGGTGAATTTTTCCTACACCTGACATGTTTGCTGTTTTCTTGCAGTACTTCTTTTCTACCCAGTTGGAGAGTTTAGAATGACCACAGTAGTATAACAGTGCTTTGAGGACAATGTCAGTAGCAAATGATATCATGTCGTGGAAATAATTGCCAAAAGAGTCTATGCAGCTGCTGAAATGAACAACATATGCAGTCTTTTCTATTTTTTGTTCTGCATACAAAAATGTTTGTTTATCTATTTAAAACATTTATTAGCAGCCTTTCTTCTTTATGGAGCTCTAAGTGGCTTACAATATAGATAAAATATATAAAATCAAATGCATAAAATACATAAAACCCAAAATTTAAAAATCAAATTTAGGACTACTGGGAGCTTAATCGAATGCAGTACTAAATAGAGCAGTCTTCTCTTCAACTGCCACCAAAACATTGAAAGTGAGGGGGCCAGGCACCTCCCTGAGGAGAGGGTCACATAATTGTTGGCCTGCCACTGAAAAGACCCTACCTCATGTACACACCAAATGAGCTTGTTTGATTGATGGGACATCAGGAAGGCCTCTCCCTGTGATCTTATTTCCCAGGCCAGAACATATGTTTTCATTTCTGTATGATTTTGATGTGTATTCTTTTTATCTCTCCCTTATTATAAAAGAGTTTTGGGTGCCAGAATTCTAAAATTGGCCCCTTTAGTGTTAGGCCGAAAAAACTGCCACTCGGAAGACACTGGCTGGGTTCATTGGCTGCTTTGTGCAGTCCCGGCCAGCGTTCCAAGGTCATTTACATATGGAAGCTGATTGGACTACACTCCATTCCACACCTCAAACTCACCCCCCCAAGGCAGTTGGAATTTTCAGTTGGGAGAGGAGAATGATGTCAGCTGCCCCCTAGGCAGAGGC